GCTGGTGTTAGAGGCGGGATGCTGCCCCAGAGCAATGCCGAGTGAAGCGGGAGCCCAGGGCCCCTACGTTCTTCACCCTCAGGACTCCCCCAGGCTCATGGTATATTTTGCACTGAAGAATCGGTGTCATGTCACCAAACCCAGCCACGTGTCCCTGGCTGCTGATGGGGCAATGCGTTTGCAGACCCTTTCAGGAAATCCCACATGTCTCCTCGAACTGGCCACAGGCCATCGAGCCTCAGGCAGCAGAGGCAGTGCAAGCCCCAAATATTTGCTTAAACGATGCTGGGGCGCACACCCATGAAAGGAGCCGGGCCTATACCATCTGCTGCTTTTTTTACATGATAAAAATTTGCTGAGAATGGGCACCCAAGATGCTGCCTCTTGTCCTGGGTGACTCCGCTGCAGTGGTGCCCATGGACCTCTCCCTGGTGAGGGTGCAGGTACTCGTAAAGCTGAACCAGACACATCCACAGGAAACTGGGTTTGTGCTTGATGCTGCTGACCTCCAGCAGAAGAGCTGAAGTTACTGGGAGGACTGGGAGAGTCCTGATGCCCCAGTGCCCACCAGGCAGCCCCGAGGCACTTGGAGCAAGGGATGGCTTTGGAAGCGTGATTCTTGCTGGCACTGGCGAGGCCGGGGGTCGGGGGCTGGGCTGCGGGGTGCCTGGCGAGCGTCGGTGGGGGGAGAGCTTGTCACTTGTTCTTGATTTTTCTGTTTCTTGGCTTTGCACCAAATTTTGCATCAGATTCAAGTCAGGGTTTCCATTTCTTGTTCCGCTGCGGTGCTCCGTGATGGCCACGCTGGCAGTGGGCAGCTCAGGGCAATGCCTCTGGCTTCCCCCCCCCAGCATCCCAGTGCCCCCAGTGCAGGGGCTCAGCCCGTCCCCCTGAGCTGGTGTGCACACACCTGCCCTTTCTGCCAAACTTCGCACAGAGCGATTCAGATTCCGCTGTTTTACAAAAAAGGGCTCAAGGCCCCAGCGCCAGAGATCCTGGGAGTCGTTTCTGCCATTCAGACGCAGGGTGGGTTTGGAGGGGGCTCTGTGCAGCGGGTTGGGGCTCTCCTCCCTTTCTGGGGCCACCAAATGCAGCTGGGGTGGGGTATCAGTACCCAACATGCAACGTCTGCTTGATCTAACAATGCTCTTAGAGAACTCCTGGGTCCAAAGCAGCGGCGGGTCAATCTGCTTCTGATGATGCGTCTGAGCTCCCCAGTGAGGCATGTGCCAGCCCTGTGTCACCCCTCTGGCCCACAGCCCCCGGCTGTCCCACAGCTCTTCTGGCCCCGAAAAGCCTTTAGCCGCCTTGAACATGGTGAGCCCAGACCCCATCGCCGCCTTCGGTATAGCCCCTCCGAGCACCCAACACGAGCAGCAGCCCTTCCTGCCCTCCAGCTGCTTGGCGTGGCTTTGCTGGGAAGATGCAAAGCCCTGGGGGGGCCGTCACCATGTCAGGAGCTGCTGTGGGACCATCATCGTGTCAGGAGCTGCTGTGGGACCATCACCGTGTCAGGAGCTGCCATGGAGCCATCATCACATCAGGAGCTGCTGTGGGACCATCGTCACATCAGGAGCTGCTGTGGGGCCCTTGCAATGTCAGGAGCTACTGTGGGGCCATCACCACCTCAGGAGCTGCTGTGGGACCATCATCACGTCAGGAGCTGCTGTAGGACCATCACCACATCAGGAGTTGCTATGGGACCATCACCGTGTCAGGAGCTGCTCTGGGGCCATCACGACATCAGGAGCTGCTGTGGGGCCATCACCATGTCAGGAGCTGCCATGGGGCCACCATCACATCAGGAGCTGCTGTGGGACCATCACGATGTCAGGAGCTGCCGTGGGGCAATCCCGACACCAGGAGCAGCTGGGGTG